AGAGTTCATTCTGCATGAGCGTTCAAGACACCAAGCTTGTCTAGGACAAAAAAATGTGTGCATGGTTTCCAGTCTAGTGCAAGGTGTCACTAGTGTTGAGAGTGCAGCGAGTGAAGATCCTGGAAATGAGTTCTTTCGGATTTTGTTGATCATTTTGATCGCAGTGGTTGCTCTGGCATTTTTAGCCGGTTTCCTGTGTGGCAGGAGTACCTTGCGTGTGAGAAGTGAAGCTGATGTTGCAACCATGACGGTGGGTGCTCAACACAATGTTGCGGCAATCGCAACTCGCAGTCAGCGAAGCCTTCAAACCCCACGGCCTCCATCCAGAGTGGAGGTTAGAGCCTCAGCGGAAATCATAATGTGCCACAGCTTATCATCTCCCTAGCTGTGGACATCTGGGGCGATCTCGTGCAACTAAGCTTGCAGAGCTTGTTTAGGAGGCCCCATCCAGTTCAGCTCAACTCCACCGTGAAACACAAAGAACCAGAATCAAGAAGATCAGATCACCCAAGCTGCCAACGAAAGGGTTCGGAGAAGAGCAACATACCACAGAGAACTTCGACGAGGAAATCCAACCGAACCCGAAGCAGAAGATGCATGAGAAGGCCTTGAGCCTTAGCAAACTCATGTTTCGAAGTGTTCCAAGAGACTTTCTCACTTCCAAAGTGGGGTGTTGAACTTTGCATCCCATAAGAACAGTGTTTCATATCAAGGAAAAGGGTGCGCTTCGGTTTGATTGCTGCCTTGTTTTTCACTAAACCATGGAACAACATGTTCAAAATTTCAATTTTCAAGCGCAGATCGCAGACAGGGAAACCATTAAAGGCAGCTTGTTGAGGCTGCGCATGACACAGCGTGGTAGAGCTGTCCACTCTTCTCCTAAGTGCAGAGTTGGGAGCAAGGCGTAAAGCCATGCGAAACCTGTATGCGCGAAGGAGGAGTGACAGAGTTTAGTCAGATAAAATTTAAATGCCAATCCAAGTTGTCAGAGTAAAGAACTTTCACGAAAACTGACCTTCTGTTCTCCTGCAGAGGCCTTTCGCAAGTTCAAGAAAGGCCAGATCCAAGTCTTTTTAATCATCGGCCTATCGATTGTGGTTTAGATGTGCCAGGTTTCCGAAGTTTGGGTTTCGCCGCAGTTGCCGGTTGCCCCTCCGACGCGGCAACTTGTGTTTCACTGCGCTAATTTTTCTATGGCAAGGGCCAAACTCCAAAATGTCGTGTTCGATGAGCTTATGCAAATGCCCAAAGTGCTGCAACATCGTCAGCAAAGAGGCTGGTGACCTTTTGTGCGAAACATGTGACCGGGGAAGGTTATTGAATATTTTTTTCAGACATGCGCAGTTGCAGCCTGTGGCCCAGGGTGAACGCACCCGACACAACCACACACATGCAGCAAAATGCGCTCAGGTACTTTGCCATGTAATTTTTCCATTATTGTTTATATTATGCGACACAAAACACACTGATGCGGTGTAGAGGGCCAGGGCAATGGAGAGAATATAGACTGGGAACTCAGGCGTGGGCAAATCATGGTGCTTGGACATTCTGACAAGTTTGGAACTCAACGTGAGGTCATACCACTGTATTTGGAGAATCAACCCAAGGACTGAAATCTTCGAAACAGTTTAAAGTGGACTAGAAACTGTGTAAACTTTGCGTGCGAGTTTTGGTTGCAAAATGCAAAGGATCCGGTGAAAGTGTGGTGCATCCGTCGCGAGTTGCCCAATCCAGAGTAGCACTAGTCTTGGAGCAAAACGCGATTTCCGTTGGAAGTTCCAAGATCGTTGGCGCTACTAGTAGCGACGCCCTTTGTTACTAAAACGCGCACGTCTACGTTTTGGGAGCGCCGTGGCCACGAGGCCCAGCTTAGAAGTGCGCAGAGCGAACCTCACAAATAGATTAACAAGGACACAGAGTAAAACTGCGTTTCATGACTCCAACCTAATGGTGATGGCCTCCAACCGCAGTGCACATTAACAAAATATTTGGCAACAGCATGCTTGATGGCTTACTTAGAGGTGGCTGATTGGAGACATAGAAGGCGCTACTAGGGGCTCCTGGCCGCACTACTAGGAACAAGAACGCTACTAGGAAAAACCGCTAGTAGAAGAGGTAGCTAGTAGCTAAGAAGTGGCTCCGAGCATGGGCACAGGATCGCTCACGCTGCGGGAGCTTCCTTGACGAAGCACTCGCACTAATTGTTTGGTAAACTAAACTATCCTAATAGGAAACTCTCCCAGTAGCTTCTTGCTCCTAGTCCTAGTAGCAAGGCCAGGAGCCCCTAGTAGCAAACTATACTAGACCCTTCTTCCTTTTCTTTTATTTTTGTTTCTAGTAGCAATGGCCTCCAACCTCTTAGCGATGGCCTCAAACTAATAGTAGCAACTGTGTGGTAAAGAGCTTAGATTCAGACTGGCTGGAAACTTCACCCGCGAAGACTGGCCATCTGATCCGGCGGAAGACGGGGATGTTAAAGGCATCTGAAAGACAAACTTAGTAGAAACAAGGGCATCGCTACTAGGAACAAGTGCATCGCTACTAGTAACAAGTGCCTTACTACTAGGAACAAGAAGCTAGTAGAAACAAACATTTTTTTTTCTTCGCCAAAAAGACGTGAGGAAAAACGTCAAGCCCGCGCTGAACGCGCATGGGCTGCATGGGTGTCGTGCCCAGACCGCTTCGCACAGTTCCACCTCCTTCCGAATCTGCGCGCGGTAACTGCTGTCGTTTGGCTCCTTTGTTGCCGTGCGCCGTGGACAAAAGAACACGCTCACGAGAGAAAGCTGTGTCGAGGCGTGCAAAAGATGCCAACGTCGGTTTTCTTTGATACCACTGGCCTCCACGTTTGGACCAAACGCGCCCAAATGAGCGGCGGACAGTGCGGGACAACCACCCAAATTAGTAGTTTCCTTGCTCGTAGCGATGCCAGGAGCCCCTATTAGCTTCCTTGCTCCTAACTTTTGTTTTGCTAGTGCGTCACCATCATTGCAACCTATACCTTGTTCACATTCACGTTCATGGCACCTCCTACTCCATGCGTTTTCCAATGCACACACCAACCAAATAAACAGCCCACCGTTGCGATCAAGGTTGTCCCCACAACAGGACCGCAATTTGAAGACCTGCCATCCGTCGCGCAATCTCTAAGGCCTGAACTTGAAGCTTTGTTGGCAAACTTGACCGTGCAACAAAAAGTCATTGGGAGCTCCCTGAGCAGCAGGTCATGTGGCAGGCACCAGTCCAGGCGGCTATGTGTCGCAGGGGCCTTGCTGTTGCCAAAGTGCCCAGGGCGCCGGCCTTCCGGGGACTTTTCAACACGTCCATCTCAACGGCATCCTGGCACACGATAGGCCAACTCCGCCCGCACCACGTCCACACCTGGCCGGTGAGGGTTGACTCCCGCAAGTTGCAGTTCTTGTTCTTCCAGGTTACGAAATAGCCGCCACTTGGCAACCAGTTCCCGACGTCGAATCTCCCGACCTTCCCCTACCAGAGCGGACATCAATTCCTTGGCGCGTTTGTCATTTCCTGTCACGAACTATCCAAACTAGACTCGTTTCGCACAGGGATGCCTGCGCTGCAGACGGCGTTCCTCCAAGATTTGGAGCAAAACCAATGAATGAAATACGAACAAAGGAAATGCAAAGCAAAAACCCGCAAGCTACCAGCGGTCGCTTCCAACCTACTGTGCAGTGATGGCCTCCAACTTGAAGAAAGTGTTGTGTGGGCCTTGTGTTCCTACAACGGCTCCCTGCAACGATCCCCTCCAGGGAGGCTCAGCCACCAGGGGCCTGCGTTCTTGCTCCTAGTGGTAAGGCCAGGCCCCTAGTAGCGTCCTTGCTGCTAGTAGCGATGCCCTTTGCTCCTAGTAGCGTCCTTGCTCCAAGGCCTGTGCCAAGCGGGAAGTTGTGCAATGGCTGAGTGGACGCCAATCATGTTGAACCATTGCAATGACCCAGCCCATGACACTGGCTCAGAAAAAGGCCCATGATCAGCTTCACCAGTTGCAGTGTCCACATGAGAATGGCAAACCATGTTTGAAGTTTCTGATTTTGTCCAGGTCTTGCCATCGTGGAAGCAACAGGAGTTTCTTCTGCTTTTGAAAGTCGTTGGCGGGGGGATGGAACGACCTACTCCGTGAATAGTTCACGTGTAGATCCCACTCCACCGGTTTCAGCTCCCGTCACGTCTGAGTCAGAAATGCGTCAACCAAGGCGAGGACAATGTACTAGGTCATTTGACTGTCGCCTTCGTCGTCATTTTCGTCACGGTCATCGTGTTCCTTGTCCTTGTCCTAGGCTGCTTGTCCCCTCGTTACCTGTGCTTCACTTGTGCTTATGCAGCGTGTCGCCTGTATCATTGCTCCATCGACTCGTAACATTTTGCTATCCCCTTGGTGTGGCGCATGACTTGTTTATGCCACAGGAACTTTCTCTCCCACCAGCTTCCTGCACACCGAGCCACAATTTACACCGACCACGGTTTATACCAAACCACGGCTTACACCACACACCGTGTACAAGGAACGTCGGCTTACACCAACCAGCGTTCACACCAAGCCAGGGGTTTGACCACACACCGCAGGGTTCAACGTCCCTTGCTCTGACTTTGGCGTTTGTATATACCAGGATTTGTTTACCCCACCGCCACTAACCATCTCTCACTGGCATGGCACTGTTTTCATGTTCTGAACCATCATGCCGTTTTGTTGGCAAGAGCGCTCCTTATTGACTTTGGAGGCTGAATCTCGCAACGTGGGCTTTTCCGCTACCTCTCGCCACATCTCGTCTCCAGACCCTGCCAGCTGGCGTCAAGTCTGACGACCATGGCTGTTGCCATCGGGCATTCCATGGCTCAAGTAACGCCCAGCACTCGTACCCAATACTCGCAACAAAGGTTGCATCGGTTTACTTTTCACAGACATGGGCCGGAAATGCAACTGCGACACTCAAGATGTGGCGTGCCCAATTATAAACCATATGCCACACGCCCACCTAGGTATGAACGCCTAAGGGTTCAAGGAGAAGGTGTGGTTCAAATCCCCAAAGGTACTAAAGGTCATGGTTCAGGTTTCCGGTGTGGGTCAAAAAGGCGACGACGTCGACGACGAGTGCACTAGCCTGTGACAGCAGCAAAACCTCTTCATCCTGAAGCAGCCTCCAAGACTCTTATCGTGGTCACAAAACATCACAATTTGCAGGCATTCCACTATCACGCATAGTTTCGTTGGCGCCTTTGCATGGCCGCACGCCCCCCATTCATTCCAACGGTTTTCACACACACGCTTCCCAGGAAGGGAGGCCAAGGCCGGTGTGCATGTACAAAGATGCATGTGGCTGCGATGAAGGGAAACCAAATAACTAGGGACAAGCAATGAAGCCCAACGTCATCAAGACGTGGGCGACCTGAGGCGTGAATTTGAAGTAGTTGTGCGCGTACAAGCTAAGGGACGGGCCAATGTGCACGCAAAGAGAGAAAACAGAGTCAGATGACAGGACATGAAGCCGGGAAAAGCATGAAACGAATGAAGCAAAATGCGTGTGTGAAGGGGAATGGGTGAAAGGGGAATCACACGGAGAGGCCCAACACCGACGAAGCCAAACCTACGACGAAACCAAACCTACTGCAACCGGCCCGAATGGGCCTTGGAGATGTTTGACCACTCTGAAAAATGGCGGTCAGCTCCTGCTAATTGTGGCATGGCTAGCGCAAGCCTATTTTGTCCACTTCAGAAGGCCCGGTGGAAAGATAGACAAACCCGCTTTCGATGGGGCCACAGGGGACACTCCTCGGGTTGGGATGAAGCCCACCCAAGTATGAACGTGTGAAGGTTCCAGGAGAAGGTGTGGTTCAAAGCCCCAAAACCACAGCTGTAGGTTTTACGACGTCTCTGGTTTGTTTATTTCATCGCGCATGGGCGGCCCAAGGGTAGATTTCCCGATTTCCCGGCCTGCAAACCCTTTAGCCAAAAACTGCCCCCGCCAGACAGCTTTCGGAATTGAAAGCGGGTATAGGCGGGCTGCACGCACACCACTCCCAGCCAGCACCGTACCCAGCATTCTTGGATGCGGTTTTGCAGCGGTGGGACAATTGCGTGCACCCAACTGAATTCTGTCGGGAAGTGCTGGGGTGCGACCTTAGGCGGGGCTTCGTGTAGCGTTTTTGGAGCCTACGGTGGCCAAAAACAATTGCGCAGAGGGTGCGCTTCTTTTTGGTGAACACCTGTTGTACATCACCACATACAGGGTTTAAACTTGATCGATGCTTTGAGTTTGGCGGTTCTTGTTTGAAGGACGCATCTCGCACTGTGCAGCTGCCATTGACGGAGGCCAGGGCGAAGTGATTTGGTGGGCATTTTTGCATGATGCGGTATGTGTCAATGCTTCAATATGTGCAGGTTGTCCATCGCACAACGAAATCCTTGACCGCCAAAAATGCAATGCCTCGATTGACAGAAGCGATCGCTGCAATGGTGGGTTTCTCATTTTGTGGGACGTGCTTCGGCACACAGCAGCAACCTTGAATTTGATTGCCTCCAGGTCAAAGAAGCAGATAGCCCGACAGGGCGAATTCGTGAAGAACGCTTCCGCAATGTTTTGGAGGACCCGAAAACAACTTCAACGATCGGTTTTGTGTGTTTCTGCATGGGCCCATAATGACATACATGTTGTTGGACACGCATCATCAAGGGTGCTGCACCAGGTTGTCCCCGGCCATGTATGTTTAATCTCTGTTGCTGCACGGCTTGGGGCAGGAACGCTCTTCATGGGACTCTGCGCGCACTGTTCTTGTGCCTCCGTGGTTGACATGAGCCGAAACATGAACTTGAGCACACACCCATCGGAACGTGTGGTGTCAAGCAGGTTGATTGACTTGCTCTTGAAGACCCGCCCAGATGATGCTAGAGGAAACGGAGGATGATATGAGAGATGTGGTTGGCAGCCCTTCCCAACAAATGCTACGTGCGTGTGCGCCGTGTGTGTTTTTTTTTTTGAGGTGTTACATGAATGCACACATATCATGGATGGCTTGTGGGAGGCCCACCCGCCCGAGCATGAAAACAACATGTCAGATCTACACAGCATCCAGTATACCTCCATCATGCTGCTCACATTTATTTCGCCCTGCCATGCGGACGGGTTGCGAAACACGAAAAATTGTGCAACAGCTGTGCCTCTTTCACATCAGCCTTTTCTCCTACAGTTTTCCCTCTCATTTATCAATCCGCTGCTCCTATTCGCAAACATACCCGTTGTTTGGCCCGCATTTTTCGTTGTTGTTTTTTGCAAGTTCTTTTGCACTGCGCACATCACAATCCAGCCTTGAAATGCGCAAACGTTCTTTCTGGCAGTGTGGCCGGCCTAGCCGCTTAGCCTTTTCCAGCACGTGTGTGCATGGACGACTTGGTGCAGAGGAGGTCGCCAGCCAAGTGCTTGACACGGACGAAGTCCAGGCCAATCTTTTTTTGGGGGGGGCGGTGTTCCTCATGGTGCACTTTGGGCTATACACCTTGCACTTGAATGTCCGATCTTGAGTCTTGAGGCCATTTTCCCCGAAAAGAGTGGTGCAACTCAAGGTTAAGAGTTACGACTCTGGACCAATATGTCTATTTGGTTGTCGCCAGCAAAAGACTGAAGACGATGGTCTCGTTGAGAAATTCAGTGCTTCATTGACTTGTGACTGTAGACAAGGATGAAAAAAGGCCGAACATTTCGATGGTTTTTTTCAAGAACACATGTGTACGGCGGGCGAAAGGTTGGAGTCGTTGTTTGAGCCACGATTCATGTACGTACATGTCAGGCACATGATGCAGCAACGGACGCCAGGCGAACTCAATTGACGCCCCCTGAGCTTCTCAAAGGTCCAAAGGACGTCGCAACAGTTGGACCTAGAGACCTGGACATGTTTGGAAAGTAAATTCCTGAGGTAGGAGCAAAGGGCATCGCTACTAGTAACAAAGGGCATCGCTACTAGGAGCAAGGACGCTACTAGGGTCCAGTTCAAAGAATCAAAGGGAAACCAAAACATTCATGTTCGCACAATTCGGGCAGATGAGCGATGTGCTGGCCACGGTACCGAACAATGGTCTGGGGCTCCATGGAATGCGGACACTAGAGCAGGATCTGTTTGGATTCGGCCCAGTTGGCGGACGACCCTTGATTTCGACTTTGACACTTTTCATTTGCTCCACATTTTGCGCGCGTTCATTATTTGATGCTCATGCTGGCACGAGTTCACATGTTGCAGCTGGGATGGTCTGCCATGGCGTTTGGCAAAACGAGTGAAGACATGCTTGGGCGATGGCAGCATGAGTGGCACCTGACAGCAGAAGCTGAGGCGAGCCATGCGATTGAAACGGGATTCGCGAACTCCCAACGTTATGACGCTTGGAAGAACTTAGGTGAGAGTCTCCAGTGAAGCTCGTATTCACAATTCAATATTAAAAAAATAGACAACGGCAAGGACCTGCCAGACTTTAACACATCCATGTTCAGGTAAGGCAGACCAGAGGTAAGAACACTTTGGCAGCAAGAGCATTGGAAACTGATTGGTGTGTTTTCTGGCAACTCCCGTGTTCAAGCTCAGGGCAGCATTGATGCCGGAAAAGCTGCGAGTTTCTTGGACTGCGAGAATGGAGATCCATTTTGGCACCACTTTCGTGAAGCATTTAGTGCCACGGGGCCTTTGTCTCCTGCAACGGCATCGTTGGCGTATCTCAAGTGGAAAGAGTGGGAAGACTTCATCGATGGAATGGACGCTGCCAGTCTCTTCGACGGACGTATATTTGTTCCTTTAGCGGGTGAATGGCACCCGGATGGTTCGGCATACTATACCCAGATTCGTGAAAAGCGGGATTGGGTGACTGCTTTGCAGAAATCGCAGTGGCAAGGATTGTTTGGGTCTCCACCTGCGTGGTCCTCCGACAACTTGGTTGGTTTCATGGCGTGTCCTGTTGGTTTTGCATTGGTTCAGTACGTGATTTTTTTGGTACACAAGATGCGATCCAATTTGCCAGAGGATGCTGCGAGATTGAATTTGGAAAGCATGCTGTTTGCGTTTGTGAGCATTTTAGATTCTAATTTTGATCATTTGGAATCATCGAACTGGAATGTGAGTTCCTTTGACCTTGCAGTGAACTTGAATTTGGAAGATCCACATTTTTATGCAAGCTATCGGGATTTCATCGAGGAAGGTGAAGGCAAAAGTGAGAACGCAATAATGTTTGCGGAGTCTTCTTTTCAGTGTGACCGAGACGACAGAGACGGTTTTCAGTTTGGAAAGATCAGAGTTGCACTCGTCGGGGAGCACGGACCCAGCAATTTAGAGCATTTGGCCTCTTTGCAAGCAGCAGCGGGTCGAATGGAACTTGAGGCAGGACATTTTTTTGCTTACTTGTGGCAATTTGAGAAGCTTTCAGAGTTTTCAGCCTTTCAATCTTCGCTTCGGATCACTTGGGATGCCTTTTGGGGTGAGCCTCTCACAGAGTCTGCTGGGCGAGACAAATTGACGTCAAGGCCTTTGTGGAAAGTTCACGAAGCTTTGTGGGCCTTGAAGGAGTTTGCGAGGAGAGACGTGTTTTTGCGGTCTTTTGTTACTGGTAAAGTAGCGTCCTTGTTCCTAGTAGTATGGCCAGGAGCTCCTAGTAGCGTCCTTGCTCCCAGTAGCGATGCCAGGAGCCCCTAGTAGATTCTAGTTGCTGCCCCTAGTAGCGATGCGCTTCAGGAGAGACGTCTTTCTGCGGAGTTCCAAGTTGATCGTTTGCTCCGAGCCTCTGTGGCTTTGCATTTTGCTTCACGCGGCTTTAGACGCTTTGGACAGCGAGCATGGTCGAGGATGCCACGAGTCACTTCGTGAATTTCGCAAGGCCAAAGAAGGACGGAAAGAACAGGTTTTTGGTAGGAACAAGGGCATCGCTACTAGGAGCAAGGACGCTGCTAGGGGCTCTTGGCCGTAGTACTAGGAGCAAGGTTCGCTACTACTAGGAGCTACTAGGAGCGTCCTGGTTGATGCCAGGAGCGCCCCTAATGGCTTCTTGCTCCTAGTAGCGATGCCCTTTGTTCCCAATAGCGTCTTTCGGCAGTAGGAACTTTTGGCGGCAACCATTATTGTTTTGGAAACTTTCAGAAACAGCAGGCTAGGGAAGGCCAATATTAAGTATAGGGACGTGTGTTAATTGCGACGGAAACCAGTGTAATTCCAAACAGTAGTGTTATTCCTACTTGTCTAGTGTGTTTTTT